ACTGGGGATGTGGTTAAAAGCAAGTTGGCTAAAGAGATCAGATCTTTGGGCCCAATTTCGGTTAATTCCAGAGGAAGGACTGGTGATGGAGGTAGTAGAAAGAAGGTTGGGGGTTCTTCCCCTAAAAAATTTTAATGGGATCTTTAGCTTTTTTGGAATTGTAGAGGGGCTAGAAAAAGAGAAGCCTCTCTATATTTGAAGGAATTTATTAAAGATTACAAGGTTTTTTTTCTTGGGTTAGTGGAAACGAAAATCAGCTCTTTTGATAAGAATGAATTTGTGAAGCTAATGGGTCCTGCATGGGACTTCTTTTTAGTTCCTTCCGAAGGTCTTTCAGGAGGAATTATGATTTTGTGGAGAAGTGATATGGCCTCTTTTTCAGTAATTAAAGCATTGGATCAGTGTGTGATTGGTGATCTCAATGTCTTTAACAAGGGTATTTGTATGATTACTACTGTGTACGGGAGTAAGGATGTTCAGAAGAGAAGGAAACTGTGGGAATGCATTGGGGAACAATCTTATAGAGATCTTCCTTCGATTATTGGGGGAGACTTTAATTGCATCTTATCCCAAGAGGACAAGAAGGGTGGTAGGAAGTTCGTTTTTTCTCAAGGTCCCTTGGAAATGTCCACTTTCATGTATGAGAATGACTATCATGAAGTTAAGGTGGTTGGCCCTAGATTTACTTGGTGTAATAATAAGGTTGGAGGGGGGAGAATCCTTGAAAGGTTGGATAGATGTTTGCTAAACTCCTTGGCTTCAGATTTTCTGCATCTTGGTGTTGAAAGACATTTGGCTAGAGTGGCTTCTGATCATTGTCCGATTGTGCTGGAGATACTTGCTGTGGAGGCTACAAAGAAGAGTGGTATTAAATTTGAGGATGTTTGGCTCTCTTTCAAGACAGCTACAGCTATTGTGAATAAAGGTTGGCAAAAATTCTATGTGGTTAATGACATGGAGGTGCTCAATAAGAAGTGTAAACGAGCTTTGAACAATTTATTTTACGGGAGTAAAGCTAAGCTGAAGGATTTTTCGGCTGAGAAGGATAGATTAAAATCTGAAATTCTGCTCATTCAAGAAGTTGAAGCTAGAGATGGTGATAATGAGAAGATTTGGTTGTTAAGATCTAAAGTTAAAGAGTTAAATGTCATTCGTAATTGTCTAAATACTTAGTGGAAACAAAGAGCAAAGGTGAAATAGGTTGAAGAAGGGGATTCTAATATTAAATTCTTTCATGCCTTTGCCAATGGAAGAAGGAATGATAAGTGGATCTATCAATTTAAGACTGATAGTGGAGAAATTTCTGAAGACCCAAGAGTTGTGGAAGATAGTTTCATCAGATTTTTTCAAAGTAAATGGAGACATAGAAGTTGATGTTTGTCTTGCTGGCCAAAACCGTGGACTGTTCTGGATGATGAAGAGAAGCTTTTGCTAGATAAAGAGATTTCGGCTGAAGAAGTTAAGGTGGCTGTTATGGGGTTGGGCAATAACAAATCTCCTGAATTTGACGGGATGACCCATTCCTTTTTCAAAGGATATTGGGCGATTATTGAGAAAGATGTTTTCAAGGCAGTGAGTTTTTTCTTCTCTTCGGGGAGAATGTGCAGAGAATGGAAAGATACTCTAGTTGTGCTGATTCCTAAGTATTCTAATCCTCTTTATCCCTCTAGATTTAGACCCATTAGCTTATACAATTCTATTTATAAAATTGTTGCTAAAGTAATTTTGAATAGAATGCTATTGGTGATTCCCAAGCTTATCTCTGAAGAACAGGTGGCTTTTGTAAAGGGGAGATCCATCTCTGATCATCTGCTTCTAGCTCAAGAGGTCTTCAACAAGTTCAGATTGTCAAAGGCTAGCAATGGTTATGTGGCTTTTAAATTGGACATGAAATAAGTATACGATAGTATGTGTTGGCCAACCTTAGAAAAAATGATGGTTGAATTGAGATTCCCGGTCAAATTCATTGGGTTGGTGATGGATTGTGTTTCAAATCCTAGATTCTCTATTGTAATCAATGGTAATAATTCCTTATGGATTGATGGTTTGAGTGGATTTCGTCAGGGCTGCCCCCTTTCTCCAATCTTGTTTATTATGTGCTCACAGTTATTATCTAATGCTTTTTTTGAAAATGGTACGAATTTGGGTATCAAGATCTGTGCTAGAGCTCCCAAGATCACTCATATGTTGTTGTATGCAGATGATGTGCTGCTATTTTCAGATGCTAAACTTAAGAATATCAAGAAGATGTGGAGCATTGTGGGTAACTACTGTAGATGGACTGGTCAGGCTATCAACCAGCAAAAGTCAGCTGTAATTTGCGGAAAGGCAGTGTGCAGAAGGAGGAAAAATTCAAGATTATTGGGCTTCAAATTGGAGGATGAGCTGGAGTACCTAGGAGTTAAGATGGCTTTGAGAAGGTTAAAATCGGCTGACTTCCAAATGATCCTGGATAAATCATTGAAATGGCTTAATGCATGGGGGAATAGATTTATTTCCCTTGCTGGTAAACTTGTCCTGGTGAAATCTGTCCTTGCTCTTCCAGTTTTTTTGATTACTCATTCTCTAGTTCCTAAAAGAATCCTTTTTGAGCTAGAAAGACATTGTAGAGATTTTATTTGGCATAAATGGAGACCGTGGTTTGCATTATGTAAGCTGGGATGTTTTATGTCGACCCAAGCAGTGTGGAGGTTGGGGTGTTCAATCTGTTTTGGATAGAATGGGACCACTGCGTGCTAAATTTGCTTGAAATTCTATTGAGAATCCCAATTCTATGTTTTATAGAAATTTTATTGCTAAGTATGGGGAGAGCTGGTGGAAAAGAGAGAGAACTAGAAGTGGTTCTAACTCTTGGAAGATTATGATGAGTGGATGGGAATCTCTTAAAAATTTCCTGAGATGGAAGGTGGCTAATGGTGAGATTATTGATGTCCTAAGGGATGCCTGGATCATGGAGAAAAGCTTATTGAAATGGCCTACGTTTGTAGGTAGTTTGGAAGATGAAGACTTGAAGTTGAGCTATTTCATTGAAAATGGTAACTGGGTTAATTCTAAACTTAGAATTTGCTTTGGGGAGGAATTGATAAAGCTGATTGAAGATGTTCAGATTTTTTACTCTTCGTTAAAAGATCAAATAGAGTTAAGGCTGCAGTTAACAGGTAAATTTTTTTTTTTTGTTAACAAGTAAATCTTTATCTTCTTTATTAATTGAAAGTAGATACATGCATTTACTTGATAATATCGATACTATATGGTTGCATAAGCTGAAGTTGAATGCCAAAGTTAAGATGTTCCTTTGGCGTGTTTGTAAGGATGCGGTCCCAACAGAATTTTTTCTGTTTAAAGAAGGATTTCTAGAGACTTTCTTTGTCCTATGGGTTGCGATAAAACTGAAGATTTAGAACATATTACTACTTCCTGTTCTATTCTGGTGAATGTAAATAATGTGCTTAGGAGCTGGGGATTTAAAATCCCTGTTTTCAGCAGTTTTTCTGAATGGATACAGGGGATGAAAAATCTGTTTCAGCAGAATGTGCTAACCGTCCAGATTTATGTAATAAGTATGTGGTTTGTCTGGAATAATAGATGCAAGGTGAAACATGGAAATTCTGGTTGTAGTGCTGAGGTGATTGCAGCTTTTGTTATTAGCTATTTCAGTTCTTCCGATCATGATGTGTACCGCTCAGACAACTGGGGTGCTAACCGGTCCTATGGACTGCTCTTAGATTTTTGGCATCCCCCTCCCCCTGAGTGGTTAAAGCTTTAATTTGGATGCTTCTCTTAAAGAGAATTATGATGCGGGGTTAGGAGTTTTAAGGGATGATAAAGGAAGATTTCTTTTTGCTTTTGGAAGGAGATGTAGACATTGTGACATTGCTCATATGGAGTTATCTGCTTTTAAATCTGTTAAAGACATGATGCAAGAGTGGATGTATACAGCTAAAGGGATCATAATAGAGGGAGATAATCATAATGTTCTCAAGTTTCTTCATCAATTGTACAGCAAACAGAGGAAACCTGGTGGGAACTCCGAAGAGGTTGGTCTTTTATTCTTGAATAAATGTAATAATGTTGTTTTCAATTGTGTAGGTCGTAATTGTAATAGGTTAGCTGATTTTTGTGCTAACCTAGCTTTGACTTTTGATTTTGCTTGGAACACTTTTTTGGAGAGCAATCTTCCCTCTACTTTTAAATTTATTTTAAAGGAAGAGTGTGATAGATGGTTAGGCTCTTCTTAGTTTGTATCTAGGTTGTTCTTTTCTCCTTTAATTGCTACTTAGCATTTCTAAAAAAAAAAAGAATAGATTAAAAGCTATGAGAGCTTTGAGCTTCGAGATAATTGCCGGTACAAGGAAATTTTATTTAGCTTACAATCATATTCAGCAACAAAAAATTAAAAAAAAAAATCATTGAAATAAAGAAACATTCGATCCATATGAAAGGCATATTATGGGTGATCTCTGCTAGTAATTGAAATCATCTATGAAGTCAGTTGTCAAAATTCAGCAGATCTTTTCCAATTCAAATGTTTTTACCAAAAAATGATGTCTAGGCATGAAGCAAAACCCTACCATAAAGATAACTTAATAAATTATAGGCAAAATATGAAACTAAAAAACAATCCCGCTATTAATTGGTACATGGATCCCCAACTTATCAAAAGTAATAAAGGCAAAAGACAACTCATCTTAAGAAACCAAAAAATTTATATGCCCGAGGGAACAATTTTGTTTCTTTTAAAAGAAATAATACATCACAGTTGGAGTACAGATTGTCCGTTCATTTAGAGATGATATAAATAAAATTGTTTCCGGTTAATGCAAGGTGAAAGACGGCAGTACATTCAACTAATATTATGATGTCCAACAAATCATTTACTAGTTATAATAATGTCATCATTGTAAATTAATTAGAATTCGGTTAAAATAATCTGTTATATGAATAATATTTCATAAGCCTCAATAATAATGAAATAGGAATAATATGAAGGCAAATATCACCTCTCCAGCTTTAACAGCAATTACATGCGGAGTGAAAGAGGTGCCTGAGGAACCTGAAATTCAATAAAATACAAACAAAATATTCAAACTAACTAAATAATTAAAGTAACATTGTCAATGGAAATAAACAAAAGCATCCGAAAATGAACTCATTTGCCCGAGATAGTGAGAGAGAGAGTGCAAAGAAAATAATGGAAGAAAGCATAGCATGGTAAAATATAGGGTAATATTACAAAATCTGAGAAAGTCAAATAAATCTATAGAGACTAATGTAATACTCCTGTTCTGCAAGGAAGGATTTAAAAATTAAACATTATGCTAACATAATTTTTTAATAAGTGCAAAAAAGAAGTTTTATGAAGTACTATCAGTGGATTTTACTTTAGAAACAGTCCAAAAGTAGAGATTTGCTCAAGGGAATAATTTTGGGCTTGATGTTGACTTTGGGAATTAGAAGAGAGACACTCAAAGGTTGTCTCTGAAAAAGAAAGGCAACGATAATGGAACAAAGCAACCTTAAGAAGTGAAATACAAATTGATGTGGCAATGGTGCAAGCAACAAACAATAGCAAATTTGTGTCTGAGTTCTCTATGAACAACAACTTAGGTGAGTGTTAGATTTTCATATTGTAGTATTAAATGAAAAAAGTTTAAGTTTTTAATTATAATAGTTGTACATTGAGTAAAAAAAATTAAAGTTGATTACATGAAGCATTTGAATACAAAATTTTAAGTAAATGACATGCAGCATGAGTCATGCACCATGTGCCATCTTTATGAGCTGCGTACACTACTTTAGTATATGTAAAAACGATAAAAAGGGGAGATTTTCTGCATGGTGAAATTAGTTTCATGTTTAGTTGTATCCACATCAAATTACTGTAAACCCGAGTGGCACAAAATGCATGCATGTGTGGCATAGATGTGAAATTTGCTCCAAACATGAAGGAAGGCAGTTCACTCAGGTTTCAAATTCTAAACATAGATGAATTGGTAGCACAATTGCCACATGAATAAGAATTTTGAAAACTCAATCAAATAAGGCACTTGACTCCTTAATGAATACAAGAAAAATAAAACAGAAAATGAACAAGTACCCAAAGCACCAAGTTGTCGTAGTTTTCCAGAGCCTGGTGGGCGGCCTCGTCTTTTAGCCGTTGGTTCAGACAATGAAGTGTTATTGTTGTCATATTCAGATGTAGAAGTCGTAGAACAAAGACCCAAAGCCATAGTCCCATCAGGCCCATATTTCCTAGGCCTTCCTCTCTTCTTCTTCATGGGCTCACTCAAACTAAATATACCACCTGGTCTTCTTCCAAGCACACCATCTCCAGGGTTATTTGAACCTAGAGCATCCAGTGGCTTTGTTGTAGAAGATGGCATAGTGTTAATTGGAAACCTCATCCCAGAAGAATTAGCCATGATCATTGAGTGGCTTGGAAATCCAGCTCCAATTCCATAAGAATTAGGAGCAAACATTATACCCGAATGCTCGGAAGAATCGAGTCCGGAAGGCTCTCTCGCATCCATTCTTTTTTTAACTCACTAAATAGTTACCGTACAGATTGAACTGAAAACCCTACACTCGCGGCACCTGAAACAAAAAAAAACTGATTGCATAGAAAGTTGCATAATTACGTATAAATGAAAATCCCAACAACGAGAAGAAGCATTAACATCAACTTCACAAAAATATAAAAAATCCAATAAAATAAAAATCCGTTTCTCCATTGATAACAGACTCGTTTCAACCAAAACCTACACAAAATCTAATTAAAACAAAACTACAGTGAAAAATCAACCAAAAGTGAGAAATGCTAGGTGAAGCACGGTTTCATCTTGCCACCAACCATAAGAATCGGCAGGAAGAGATCAACCGTGCGCTATGGTTTTGTTCATTAGGGTTTATAGGTGTTCTGAACCCTAAAGCTGGCGCACTTTCTGCTCGCGCATCTTTCCGAGCTGCTAAATCAAGGGAAAAGTATCAGAAGGAACGAAGTTTGTTAAACCGAGAAAAGAAACATAAAAAATACACGTTCTACGTTGGAAGATCTGGGCCGTGCATTCTTGGTTGCGTTTTGTGCCCGTAACTATGTGCCATTTTATTTTTACTAGTAAAAATGTGGAAATAAGATAAAATTTATAATAATTGAATTTAATTTGTTTAGATGTATTTTTAAATGAGTGTAATATATAAATAATATATATTATATATATCTAAAAAAAATTAAAGATATTAATATTAATCATAATAAAAAATTTAAATGAATTATCATGATAATTTTTTTAATATGATTAAAAGATGTATAATTCAATGACCTTGATGATAAAATAAAGTTAAAAATAATAATAATTTTATTTAAATAAAGTATATTAAACACTTTAATAAATGAAAAGTTGATATAATTGTTATAAGAATAACAAATTCTTGATAAGAATAGCAGTCTATCTCTCTCATAACTAAAATTTTAATATAAATATTTAAATTTTCATCATTAAAACTTATATTGTTATTGAAGTAATATGCAAAAATATAAATATAAAATATAATATAAATTTAAAAAAAACTAATACTTTAGTATTAAAAATATTGCTAACAATCTTACGAGGAAGTTTAAGCATAAATTGTTATTTTGTTTGGCTCTATCAAAATATATTGATACGTTGGTTTCAACAATCAAATATTATTTTAAACTATTATACCCAATAGAGTAATGAAATTATGAAACAAATAAAGTTTGATATTTCATAAGCGGATGAAAATTCTTAGAGTCTAATTCATAAATTATATGATGAGATTGTGAGGGCTAGTTATGTCTAAAATATAATATTATTTATCTAAAATAAAAATGAGATTAAGGTGGAATTAAAAGTAAATTTTATAATAAAAAAATAAATTCTGAATAGAAGTAAAATTATATATTGATTTTATGCTTCTAAAATTATTTATAAGCTGTTAAAAGTAAATAGATTTTGTTAAGATTTTCATATCGGTATTAATAAACCCATAGTAACAGTACATCAGTATAGTGATAATAATTAAGTAAACAAAGAGCAGTAAAGCAATACAATAAATGAATTAGTAACATGTATTTAAGTAATCATATTAATCAAGTAAGAAGTCCTAGATTAATTGTTTTTATTCCAATATTAGTAATCCAAAGTCATTAATCGTTGGCTCGGTAAACAAAGTTGTCACTTTTTTTGCCTTTCGGTACAATAATAACTCCTAATCAGTATCATGTGAATTAGTCAAGGATAACGCCAAACCATATATTTAAAGGAAAGCTCGTCGGCCCGCCCACAATTCTGTATATTTTAGTTAGGCTCTAACCAACATTAGGGAAACTAGCATTTTACTAATTTTTCACATATATTAATATCACATTTTTAAAAAAAAGTGATAACTACCAGCTTTTCCTCAACCACGTGTTTAAATTCATTCATAATCCTTGTATTAACCGTATTTTTAAATAAAAAAACTTGCTTCTATTCAGGAAAAATCATACAAAATTCAATAATTTCTATTTTATCTAGTGAAGTTTAGAAATATTATAATCGAAGTTTTCAAAAAATTAGCATGATATCATATTACAAAATAGAATTTTAATAAATCCAGTAAAAATCAATAAAATCAATTTTGGGGAATCAAATGGTTGAAATTAAAATATTTTAAAACAGAAGTAGAATCAACCTAAATTGGACCAAGCCACAATCATTTGGGTTCAACCAAGCCACCCAAAACTCACTTTTTTGGGCCCATTCTTAATTTATCCCAAATTGGACCGAACCAATGGCTTGTACAAACTCTAAAACCTTCCACATATAACTCATGTCAATCTCATGCCACCTCAGCAATTAATGAGGCAATATTCCCTAAAATAATCTCTTTTCAATGATTAGTTCAACCATAACTCTCTCGACAATCAATCATGTGCTTTCAAACTCTGAAGAACCTTCCTTTAGATCCTATTAGTTAATCCCTAACTGAAATGGATGCTAGACTTGGCTTAGGTGGCAAGATCTAAGCCTTCCATCCTATTTTTTCTCTCCTATAGATACCCCCTTTTCTCTTAGGAAAAGGATTGATCAATTTGTTGCAACTTAGTTTTCATAACTATGTTTTCATATCATTTGTATTTTTGATTATTTCAAATATTATTATTTTGATTACTATCTATCCTAACATATATTGGATATATTGCTTTTGTTGTTTGTGTGTACTAACATTTCAGAAAAATCATACTCCAGATTGTTGAAGACTTCAAGTAAGATTTGTTTAGGGCTCAATGTAATTGGAGTTTGTATTTTTACACTTCTACTGAGTCTAAGAGAGTGTAATTGTAATTGAGTAATCGTGTACACACACATTGGGGAGTTAAAAATTTGTAAATTTTTAGACTAACTGTAATGTTCGATTTCAATTCGTACAGGACGATTTGTTAAGTTATTTCATGCAGCAAGTAGTTAATCAAAGCATGGACATAAAATTTTTTTTTAAGTACTGCTCGTTCTGTACAAAGTTAGTTTTGTATAAACAACGTCTAGAGTATGAAAATAATGCAAACATTTTTATCCATACGAATAAGTAAATTTTTTGAACTATTCGTCCGGGGTGATCTGGAGTTTGTATAGACGACATTCATAGTACAAAAATGTTAAGAACATTTTAGTCCATACGAAAAGGTAAATTTTTTGAATTGTTTGTCTAGGATGATTTAGAGTTCGTACAGACGACGTCTAGAGTATGAAATTGTGGGGAACATTTTCATCCTGACCAATAGGATTTTTTTATAATTTTTCATATTGTACGATATACATAGCGTATTGTATGATAAGCTTATATGGAAATAGTTCGTATAGGATTATATGAGCAAATTTTGAATTGCTCGTCCGGGAAGATTGTCGATTGTACTATACGATCATGGACGCTCAAAATTAAAATTTTTAATTTTCTGGATGATTTATTATGTCATTCATATAAAAAGTTCTTAGAAACTGAATTGGATGAATCTACTCTTTGTGATTTCTTTGAGAGCAAATGAAAGAGTGATTTGGGAGAGTGTTTGAGAGAGAGTTCTTCCAAGTGGAGTGTGAAGGATTCACAAGGTTACTCAAAGATAAGAATCTCTTTTGTTTTTGTGTGTCAATTCTTTTCCTTCATTCTTTCTAGTTGCTCGCGATACTTGGTGGTGTTGCAACTCGAGCTTATGAGTTTATATTTTTGATGATAACAAATATTATGGCCCACCTTCTATTCTCTACCAGTATTTACAATATATTTTTCAGTTCGTGTTTACTAACATTTCAAGATTGTAGTGCCTTACAAGGCTCAAGTTTTGGTAGAACATGTTATATTTGTAATTTTCATAAATATATTTCTTGGTTTGTAAGGTTGTTTTCTTATTTGTAACCTTGCTCACTTATTTTTATTTTAGAGTTCTTTGTTTTTGCTCACATCATTCGACATGATCTAAATATCGGCCTGGACAATCAGCTGAAAAAAATCCTAATTATGGCATCCTGGTTAAGGCGGTCATCATTAAGCACATCATCCTAGACAATATTCGTATGAAATGGGATGATAGGCTCAAAATAGAAAGAATCAGCTACCATATCTATTTAGGTATTTTTTTATTTTTGGACATCGTCTAGGACATCATTTTGGATAATGTAACACAATTATGCCTAAATTAATCTAATAATTAAGGAAAGTAATTAAGGCTTGATTGATACAATCCAATTATCCTAGACGATCGCAGGATCTGCCGGGATGATTAGTTCAAAAACCTTTGTTATACCTAGACGATCACATATTGGATAACTTCTATTCAGGGCGATGCTCTATACGATATGTACTGATTTGAACTAATCATCCAGGATGATATACTATCAGCCTGGACTATATATACAAAAACCTTCTGATTATCCCTAATCGTCCTGGCTGATTGAGCTTATTTTGCACTAACCGTACAGGATGATATTCATATCGTCCTAGACGATAATGTCCGCAAGTTGAAATTAATGAGGTCATTTGGAGCTCTTCTATTTAAGCTTTGATAAGGGACTTTTATAAGAGTCTTTAGTAGCCATTGAAGCTTCATTCTTCTGGAGGAAACTTGAAGAGAGAGCTTAAAAGGGGGAGAGGAAAGGGTGGAGTTTGAGAGAGGGAGAAGATCCTTGGGGGGGGGGATTCAAGGGAGTGTGAAGGGGGTTTCCACACAGTTGCTCCAGCGAGCTTGTACCTTAATATCATCAAATTCAAGGCTCGTCTTGAGGGAAGTTTTGATAAGAAGAAGATCTCTTTGGTGTCAAAGGGTCCGGCTACTCCGCCGCACCGGGGAAGGTGGAAGTGATTTTGTAAGGGCTTCTCCGCCTTATTGTGGGGGCTAAAAGAGAGACACTAAGTTTAGTGCAATACTCAGAGGGTGCCTCCGATGAGTGGACGTAGGTCAAGGTTTGATCGAACCACTATAAATCTGGTGTGTTCTTTCTTTTTATTGCTTCCGCATTTAATTTCCACACTTTGATTTCTATGGTGAATCTTGGTTTTAGATGTGATTATATTTTTAGTTAAAGAAGTTTTAATATCCAATTCATCCCCCCCCCCCTCTTGGTTAGTCTTGAGACTAGTTCATAAGGGCTTAACATCCCTGACAAACTTTCAAGTACCACAGTGCACTTTCAGGTGGATGTAAAAGGATGATGGTACTTTGTGGACACTTAGAGAGTGTGAAAGGATGTCGGTACTCTGCTAAAACTTAAAATATATGAAAGGATGATGGTACTCTACCGCACCAAGGATTGGTGAAAGAGAGAAAAATAAAAAAGGCTTCTCCACCTTGCTATGGGGGAAAAAGGAGAGTGATCAAGAAGAGGTATGTGACTTAAACTTATGAAGAGTTATTTGATGTTTCTAAAAAAAATCATACAACATATAGAAAACTTAAGAAAATACATGCTAGACTAAATTTAGATTTTCTTGAACTACAAAAAGAGCATGAAATCTT